GAAGACAGGCTTGCAGTTAGTGACCATGAAAAGTAAGGTTTCTTAAAAGTAGCAAGGAACCATGAGAAACCAACTGAGCAGTTGCTAGATAAGGCAAAGAAGAATAACTTAAGATTGATTTGAGTCAATGAAAAAGCAGGAGATAGCACAAATGATATAAAAAAATTGTTCACCGATGTCATGGCAGAAAACTTCCCGGGCAGGGAAAAAGAATTTAACATATAAGTGAGGCATATAAAACTCCAATTAGCCACAATAAAAAAAAAAAAAACATACACACAAATCTACAGCCAGACATATTCCAGAAAGATTCCAGAAATTCAACATAAAAATAGAATCTTAAAAGCTGTTAGGGAAAAGAAACAGATCACATATACAGGAAAGCCCATCAGAATCACAGCCAGCTTCTCAGCACAAACCCTTACGTGAAGGAAAGCTTGGAGTGAAACATTTCAAGCTCTCAAGGAAAACAACCTTCAGCCGAGATTGATGCATCCCATGCAACTATCTTTCAAAACCAATGGAGAAATAAGATACTTCCATGACAAAGAACATCTGAGGAAATTTATGACCACCAAACCAGCACTCCAAAATAGAAAAAAATACCAAAAATTCCCATTATAGGTTTAATAAGTAAATTCAATAGCATAGTGGGATACAAAGTCAACACTCAAAAACAGTAGCTTTCCTGTACAGGAATAACAAACGCACTGAGAGAGAAATCAGGGAAACCATAACCTTCACAACAGCATCCAAAAACATGAACTACTTAGGAATCAATCTAACCAAAGAAGTAAAAGATCTATACATTGAGAATTACAGTACTCTGAAAAAGGAGATCAAAGAGAGTACCAGAAAATGGAAAGATATTCCTTGTTCATGGAGAGGAAGAACAAACATAGTGAAGATGGTCATATTTCCAAAGCTGCTATACAGATTTAATACAATTCTGGTCAAAATTCTAACAGTATCTCTCACAGAATTAGAGAAAACAATCCTAAAATTCACTTGGCACCAGAAGAGACCTAGAATAGCAAAGGCAGTTCTGGGCAACAAAGGCAAGACAAGGGGCGTCAAAATCCCTCACTTGAAATTATACTATAAAGTTACTGTGATAAAAACAGTGTGCTACTGGCAAAAAAAACTGTCCCAAAGATCAGTGGAACAGATTTGAAAAGATGCAGAAACAATTGCAGACACACTCAGCCACCTTATCTTTGACAAAGGTACCAAACACATTCACTGGAAGAAAGAGGGCCTCTTTAATAAATGGTGCTGGAAAAACTAACTTTCCACATGCCAAATATTAAAATTGGACCCATATATTTCACCATGCACTAAACTAAGTTTGAAATGGATCAAAGATCTCAATATTAAAACAGAAACATTAAATCTGCTGGAAGACAGAATAGGTAAAACTCTCAAAGACATTGTAGGCAAAGACTTTATCAACAAAACCCAGACTGCACAGGAAATATCCCAAAGAATCAACAACTGGGATCTCATCTTATTAAAAAGCATTTGCATAGCAAGAGAAACCACCAACAGAGTGAAGAGACAATCCACAAAATGGGAAAAGATGTTTGCCAGCTGTTCCTCAGACAAAGGATTACTACAGAGAACATATAAAGAACTCAAAAAAAATCAGACCTCCCAAATTTTAAGACCCAGTCTAAACCTGGGCCTCTGAGATAAATACACACTTGTCAGATGAAGAAATATAAACAGCAAACAAATATATGAAAAAATGTTCAACATCACTGGTCATTTGAACAATGAAAATTAAAACAACACTGAGATTCCATCTCACTCCAGAAAGAATGGCTATCATCAAGAAACCAACCAATAACAAATGCTGGAGGAGCTGTGGGGAAAGAGGAACCCTTCTCCACTGTTGGTGGGAGTGTAGACTGGTGCAACCACTGTGGAAATCAGTGTGGAGATTCCTCACAAAACTGAGATTAGAGGTCCAATTTGACCCAGCTATCCCCCTTTTGAGTATCTTCCCAAAAAAATTTAAAACATCATACCACAGTTATATATGTGCATCCATGTTTACAGCAGCAGAATTTGTAATAGCTAAATGTTGGAAACAACCCAAATGCCCATCAACCGAGGAATAGATAGAAAAGATGTGGTCTTTTTATACAATGGAGTACTACTCAGCCATAAAGAAGCATACACTGGAGACTTCTATAGAAAAAAAATGGATGAAACTGGAGACCATGCTCATTAGTGAAGTAAACTAGACACACATGTGCAAACACTGCATCGTCTCCCTGGTGTGAGAAGCTGAAAGAGTAAATAAGACCCAAAATGCAGAACAGATACTGGGAAATGGGCAGAAACTGTTCAAAAGGAAAGAGAAACTGGGACGAGGGAAAGGAGAAAAGAAGGAAGGGGAAAGCAAATATACATGTGTGTGTGTGTATTTATATGTACATACATAAGAATGATAGTCAAGACAGTTATACTACTAATTTCTCTTAGTTCACTGAAAAGAAAGGTTTATGTTAATATTGCTTGGACAATTAAATGATGACACCTTATACTCTGAGTAATTTAAATATAACAATACGCAATGTATTAGCCATTGTTACTCTATTATCTTGCTTTGAATTTTTTTTTCTTAAAAAAAAACCAGATCCAAGTATTAAAAACAATAAGGAATAAACAAAGCCAGATGTGGTAGCACATGCTTGTAATCCCAGCACTCAGGAGGCTGAAGCAGGAGAATCACAGAGCATTCAAGGCCACC